AGACACCCACCCTATGCAACTAGTATGCCTGCCAAAAGTTTTGAACCCAACACAACACACCATTCAAAAACCCCACGTCCGACTAAAATCATACCATTCTAGAGCCCAACCGTATATATGCATTTTAAAGCCTTTCAACCCACCCCGCAACCCTATCGCCCACAACCCTGGAACATGCACACCTCCACATATATAAACCATGTAATTAGAAATCCACCCATCCCACCCAATAGAAAACCCTGCAATTAGAAGCTCGCTTTATGCACCCAACACAACACGTCATTCAGAGCCCCGCAAAAAAGCCAGGAGCAGCGGAAATCCTGACCAACCTTTTACTTTACCTGCCCAATACAAACACTACCATCCAGAAGTCCACAACCGTGTCGACCAGCACAAAGCCTGCAATTAGACGCCCACCCTACATCCCTAGCAAAAACCTTATCTCCAACACAACACATCATTCAGAAACCCGCCCTACAAAAATAAACCAGACCCGGCAGAAACTCTAACCATGTCAACCAAATGCCCTCGGCTTCTACAACAATATATTTTCCCTTACCCTATACAAATCATCTTAAATACCCTCTTACAGGCAAAAACTACATAATATCCGCTAAATTTTCTTCAAACCATTTCAAAATAAAAACTCAGGATTCAAAAAAAAACCCATCAAATCTATAGGTTTACTAAAATAATTTTACATATTAAATATAGGATTTCGTATAATTTAATATCAATTTATCGTAGCAAACGTAATTTTTTAATCAAATAAAATAAAAAAACAAATCACAAAATACACTTATATAAGGTTATCAATACTATACTTAACTTTTTATAAAAAAAAAAATACAGAATTACTTTATTTTTAATTTTATCAAATTTAAAAAAAAAATAAAAATCGTAAAATTATTTTAATTTAGATATTTTCAACTTATCACACATAATTTATCATCATTAATTATTTCACTTATCACAACACAATTCATCACACCTATCCCACTCCTCACACCTCACTTATCACATCTTCACTTCTCACATCACTTATCACATCTTCGCTTCTCACAGCTCCACTTCATCATATTATCACAACACAACTCATCACGGCTCCGTGGTCAGCAAAATGCCTTTCGCATGGTCGCTGCTGGGGTCGCGGCCGCCTTTCGTGTCGCAGGCGCAGTATACAGAGCCTCCTGGAGGAGCTGCGGCGTGCGTGGCCGCGTGGCTGCCTTTCGTGTGGCAGGCGCAACACACAAAGACCCCTGGAGCTATTATCACTGCTGATGTCTCAGATCTAGCGTACAAGAGTTTTTCTGTTAACCTAGTATTCCTTTTTCCAATAATTATATAAGTATTGGCATGGGAATAGTAAACCAAATTAGATTATATTATTCAGAGCGGTTCAAACCGCCAACCTGTGAATCAATTTGGGAAACGCTTTTATTCAACCTTTACGTTTAATAGGGAACAAGTATATCATTCCGCTACTTTCGGTCACATAGACTCATCAGTTCATCACCTATACCAGGTATTCTACACTGCACAAAATTATGACGCTTGAACTTGCGCGGCCTCTCTTGAAAAAGAGCTCGCGTGCTGCATGTATCATGCGTCGGGCT